ATTTATTTCACGTCATGTGCGTCATCCAATGCAGATCATAGGCGCCATCCACATCTAGTGAAAACTAGTGTAATTGATGAGTCATTTAACGCAAACACTCATTGGTTAGCTAAAGGAAATCATCAGAAATAGTCGAAAAATTGAACTTTCAATTCATATAGTGGCATCTGGATGTTATTTCTTAAGGTTACTTTATACTTTAAGTAGTTTTTGGAGCTCATACTGATTCACTTCTACTTGAGTAAAGAGGTCAAGTTGATACTTTAACTTTTACCAGAGTGTTTTTAAACTGCAGTATCTATACTTATACTTCAGTAACAAATGTGTGTACTTTTGATACCACTGCCCCTGATAGCGACAACATAGTCCTCACTTACTCCATCCAGAATTTATTTATTTTTTTAATAAATAAATGATACAACTGCAGAAAGAGCAAAAAGTAAATGCCTGCAGCAACGGGAATGCAAAATAATAATCTGTTAGGGATAATACAGAACATATTTTGTTAAAACCTCACTAAGATTAAATAAAACTAACAGTTTAACTACAATTTAAATCCCTCCATCTTCTTCCACTTATTACGCCAGGGTCACAGTGGCCAGTGGCTATATGTGGCAGTCATAGAGTGAGGGGTACATCTTGAACAGGTCGGGTCGCCAGTCTCTCGCAGGGGCAACACAGAGACATGCACACACAAATTCATACCTAAGAACAATTTAGAGAAGCCAATTAACCTAACAGTCATGACTTTGGACCGTGGAATGAAGCCGGAGTACCCAGAGAAAACCCACGTATGCACAGGAAGAAAATGCAAACTCCATGCAGACAGACCCCGGGCCCAGGAATCAAACCACAACCTTCCTGCTGCTATGCACCAGTGCTAGAAACGGCCCCACCGTGCAGCACACAGTTTAAATACGTTTTATTATTTTAAGACTATTTGGGACCGATTAAAAATGCAGATTTAAAATGTTTCTTTTATACGATGAAGAGAATTAATATCACTGACTGCATCAATAATAAAAGGTTGTCAGGTATTTGAAGTGTCAAAACAGCCCACACCATCACACTCCTACCACCATCACTGACTGTTTTTATGCTGTTCCTTTTCTGAAAAAAAAAAAATAAAATAAAAAATGTGTTGCTTTGGTAGAGATAAGTAGAGTCATTCTTTTGATTTAGGACTCTCACGTGGATGCTGGTCTTGCTCCCTGTCTTTGTCAAAACTGAAATAAACTAAATAAGTTTGGGCCTGTGGTGATTTAAATTGCGTTTTCTAACCTCTTTTAAGACATATTGATACACTCGAAATTATTTTGTGAGGCCAGTCTAATCTAAAACATTTAATTTTTGAATGATGGGTATGGTTCACTACGTTCCCTAAACCTTAAAGAGAGATTGATTGTTATTGCATTCTTTAAATTTGCTGAGATTGGTGCATCATGTGCTGCTTTTTTAAATATTTTGCCTTTTTGTGTTGTCTTTGATTCTGAAGGAAGGTATTAATCAGGTCAGAGTGTGGCTATCAAAATATAAATCACCTCCAAAATATATGTGTAGTTGCAGTTATTTAAGGATTAAACAAGGAAGTGTGTGCTTGGAAAAAAACAAACTAAAAATACAAGAATGTTATACAGTGTGGCGGTTCTAGACTAAATGTACCAGGGGGCCAGGAGGGGGCCAGCGTGTTTTCATGGGGGCACAGAAAAGCATGAAAT